GGCAGACTCATCAGACGTGTCCTCCACAGCTTAAAGGCTGTTTATGTTCACAGCACCAAGGACACATGGTAGATAGCCCAATAACCCAATGCGGTTTTTTCTTGGATGCTCAGCTCTTCTCAGACCCTTAAGAGAGCAAAACCACAGTTTCATAATACTCCATTGGAAGTAAAAGTCCTGCATTCAAAATAATACTCAAATCAATAACCATTGAGAATAATGTACTTAAAATATCAAAGTACAAATAGTCTTTCAGCAGTAAGATGTCCCTCGTGGCTGATAATGCGATAAGATGAAGGGCATTTCATATATCTCTGCAGGGAAACTCAGAATTTACACACCCAACTTTAATTGCACCAGATAAAAGGGCAAAAAAAGAAATGAAAAAGGACATGCATGGACAATCACAAAAGATGTAGATGTGCTAAAGAATAGCTTCACTGGGGCTATAGTGTTTGTAAGATTTAACATTTAATTGGAAGTTGCTTTTATTCATTGTTTTTCTGAGAGCTAATTATACAAAATAAGAACACAGAGGCATTGTAGAGCATAATTTAACCTTTATTGGTGATTGATTAATCACAGCACATTTTTCATATTTATGTGTCTACTGGACATGTTTTGTAGTAATGGCCTGCAGACATATAATAACTTGATAGTATGACAATATGAGCTTTCATTTAGAGAGGAACATGTGAGACAAAATTTTGTAGACATGCTTTATTTTATTATACTGTATCACAGACTCTTTGGTTTCTGGTTTCTGCTCTTGAGCTTCTGACGCACCACAGCAAGAGTGGTGAAGAAATTTCCCATGAACAGAATAAGGAAGCAGACACCACACATCAAGACCTGGCATGACATGGAAAAATAGAGAAAACAGAGAACAAAACATGAGTAAGCATAATATCTACCATTTTCTTGATATACAGTATGGAGCAATATGGGTGGGGAAGTATTCAGAAGTAATGTTACTTTCAAGTATGTGAATGCAAATCCATGAAGCTGATTTCATTGAAAAACTACATTTATACAAAAAATAGATGCTATTAGCAAATAAGAAGAGTTGATGCTGGAAAGATAAATACAGTAAATCCTTAACTGTTAATAAAACAGTGCAGGGTGAAATACTAAAACATGGTGACTGTGAAAGCACTGACCTGCCATTCTTTACAGTCTGGGAGCTGAGCCATTCTGAAGAGAGAGAGGCCATTGAAGAGCTGCCAGAACTACAGGACAAAATATGAGGACTTAAGGGTTTCTTATGTATAAAAGTGAATGGATATACAGTAGTATAGTGATGAAAACATAGAGATTTGCACGCACAGGTTAAACTGTTCTCCGGATCACCAAAAACCTAAACAATGTCTCAAATCAATCCTGAATATGCAGGGTAATATCAGGCGTAGAATGACATTAGCATTTTTCATTAGCTTTTCTCCGTCATCCACTCTAAACCATGACAAAGCGTGTTTTTAATGCAAACCAAGCAGGAAATTAAACAAGTTCAGTCACACATAATCTCAATGTCACAGACTACACTCACATGACCAAAAAAGAGGAAGGGTAAAAGAAACGTCAGCCCTTTCCACATCCACGACTGAAATCCCTCTGAAAACAGAAGACAGACAAATGTTTGAAGGGTTTTTCTTCCCTCTACATCTGTTTATTACAGCAGTGACAATAAAGAGCCACAGAGGTGGTGGGTTCCAAATCTTAAACATCGTTATAAACTATACAGTTATGATAAGGTGAGTGTATCTGTTCTCTGTGTCCTTGACGTGTTCCAGTGTATACCTTACCCACGGTCAGATCCATGTTGTGTCTTTCTCCCAGGGCTCGTAGTCTGTACAGACATCCACTCTGATAATAGCACTGCAGACACTGAACAAAACCTGCACGTGCCAGATGAAAGAATTCAGGCTTTGGTTAGATTTTTCAAAAGTTTGAACCATGACTATTATTTTATTTGAAGTATTTTGACCATACTTTGATACAAGCAGTAGGCGAGGAACTGGTTCCTGAATGCCTTGTAGAGGTTCCCATCTGGCCTTAGGTACGAAAGGGGGGAAATTTGTTATTACAAAGACAAAAAGTGCAATTTCGCAAGTATTGTATGTATGTGAAATAAATTGATACATTAAATGACATGTATTTAAAACAGAGTTTCATTGTTTCTTAATCTGTAATTAAGGTTTTTATCTTCCTCTACTCACCATGTCAGCATCACACCTGACAAAAAAGTTGAGACGTAGTGATGAAAAACCCACCAGCCTTTAATTCTATAATTCAGGACACATTTGATCAGATATTAGACTTGCTCCAGGAACTAGATTTAAGTGTGAAAATAAATTATAAGATGAAAAAAAGATGATTAACTGCCACAATGACAAGTATTTTTTATGATAAACAAGTTAAATGTTATTAATACAAAATTATATATAAAATATGATAATGAAAGAGTAAAATTTAGAGAATCGCTGACCTGGAGCCATTAGTGATGAGGATGCTTTCCCTGATAGTTAATGTACAATAGTACCACACCAGCAGGAAATTGAGGATTGCATCGAGAAATCTAAAATTGGGGACATAACACAAGTGCCAGATTTAGACATATAGCACAGTGTCCATGTAATAAACTCATTGTAACTTACAAGGAGGGAGCAGCTGTGATGTGCGACATACTGATGCATACCTGTAGCTCACAAAGAAACAGCATATGAAGGAGCACAGCAGCAGGAGGACTGTGGAGCACAGCTTGAACTTCTCATATTCATCTTTGTAGGCAAACCTGACAAAGACGTGATATATTCAGGACTCCATATACAGCGCAAAGCCTTTCAATGATCACTAATCACTAATGAAATAGGCAGAAATTCATCAACCAAAGAAATGCTATGTCGTAGTTTGAGTACTGATACTATGACAGTGAAGCATTTCACTGCATCAGATTGATAGTTACACAGATAAATCTAAAGAGGGACGGTCATGCTTACTTTGACTGCTTGCTGAGAAGAGTGACGTTCACATTTCCAAGGACCAGACTGAGATACAACCTGCAATATGTAATGGTTATATTAGTTCCCTCTTATCTAACTTTGTATGGTAAGGTAAATATTACTGTAATTAATCAGATTTTATGTATTTTAATCGCAGCAATTGCATCTGCACTAATTTTGTGAATAAAAAGAATTCATCACCCATTTTTCTTGGGAAGAAAAGCTTCCATTTCAAAGAAAACATTTGATCGCATCTTGATTTTCTCTTTAATCTCATCCATGTTTTTAGCATCTTCATCTGATGGTCCTTTGCTGCATCTGATGGATGATATAAGAGCACAAGATAAGTTTCTATAATTGGCACAACATGTCATATTTACAGTATGAACTGAGGAGGGTCCACTTTGTTTGTGACCTGATGTACTGTATTCATCTATCTATATATATAATCTGTGTCTGTGCAATTGTATGTATGTGTGTGTGTGTGTGTGTGTGTGTGTGTGTGTGTGTGTGTGTGTGTGTGTGTGGACACTTACTCTTTCACTCGCTGGGATATCTCTTTCAGTCTTTTCCGCTGACGGGAAATTGAGGAGGAGCAGTTGTTTTGTAGTTTGGAAATTTCATCCAGTTTCTGTAAGTACATTCTGTGTGTTTCCTGGATGGCATAAAAATATGGGGCTGCATCAATAACCAAAGAAAATGTACATGGTGGATTATGATATGGAATCAAGCTATTTGACATTAAACCAAAAATTACCGATACATGTCACTTTTATAAGGGTTTAATTGCTGAATATTAAGAGCATTTCATCCTATGGTTTGAGTAACACAACAGCAAGCAAACAGTATGTTAAGCACAAGACTTATGCAACTGCTATATGTGAACAACCTGATACTTCCAGCTGAGTTTGGTTCGTTTCTCACCTGAAGTTGTTGATATTCATCTTCCAAACCTTTCCAATCTTCCAGAGCGTTTGTTAAACCCTGAGGCATTTTTCCAGCACTTTAACCTTCACTTAATTTTACTGACAACAAACCCTGGCCAACTTAAACTCAGCACTGAGTTCTTTTTGTTTCACAAACAAGAAATGTTAGGTTGAATAATAACTCTTCAGGGTGTGTATCACATCTCCATGGATCGTTTATTGCATCAAGTGAACTTTGACTGGTGCAAATGTGTAAGATTTTCACTTGGACATTGTTCTGTGGAAATTCTCTGGCTATCACATTGTTCAGTTATCACTAGTAGAGCTAAAGGCAACAGGTTACTTAAAACAATATTAAACTCGATGCAAAGAGTAGAGGTCTACATTTTTACCTTTGCCATGTTTCACCCAATTCCCTGTTAGCTGTTGCTTTTGTGCATATTTAAACTTTCAGCATAGTTTGTTTGTGGCTTACACAGCTGCACATCCGTTCTTTTTAATGGCAAAACCTGCACATAGTCGACTGACAGCAGCCAGTCAGAGGAGTGTTTTGACACTTCTACTTTACTTAAACTTAAAAATAAACTTAAAAATACATTTCCCATAGGTATTAATTAATTAATTAATTGGGTTGAGAACTAGTGACTGTGAAGGGGATAGTATATTTTCTTTTTTTTCATGTTAAATAAATCATTCAGTGACCCCTCGCGTTTTGTGAGGAGGCATTTTTCTAATTTATTTCTATTTTTCTATTTATTTCTTAATCATTTATATGTTTATTAAATATATTTTCGTTGTAACAGTGTTGCTATTTCTTATATACTGGTCTCGAAGAATCAGTTAGTAATTTCAGTCTGTATTTCTTTTGTTGGACTGACAAATACACTTGAACTTCAACTTGAACAGATTTCGGGTTCCTCATGACTGGATTTTCTCTGACAGACAGGTGCAGCTTGAGTCCTGGTTTTATTCTGAAATATTCGAGCGGAAGTGCCAATGTTATTGCCTTTTGGGGAAGTACAGGCCTGCGCATGCGCATCCAGCTGACAGCGGCCGGTTGTGTTTAGTAGTTTACTCAAAAGACAGCTGCGGTGCAGAGGAGAGGCCAGTCCATCACTGTATATTTACACTTCATGCAGAATAGCTCTCTGCACTGGTTCCTGCACACTAACTAAGTCATTCGGGGACTACCTAGGTTAGTCAAGACAAAAGGAACTAAGAAAACCCAAACATTTTCATGACAAAGGTAAGATTTCATCTTCCAAGTTCGACCCCCGCTCAGCTAACGTTAGCTTAATCGAGCTACCACGCTAACGACGTTATTGTCATTTAGCAGTTGTTGTAACGGTGTGTTTATTAGGGAGAAATTATGTTTTGAATGTTTAATGATATATCATCTGAATGCAAACCGCTTCTCCAGCGCTGATAACAAGGCGGGACCGAATAGGCAGAGTGACACTTGCACACTTACAGTTGAAATATAATATCCTAAATACTTGGAGCACGAAAAAGTGTCTTTCTGACTCATTTGATGACAAGATTAGTTGCTGTTTAGTGCTAGTCTTTTCTGAAAGAGCGTAATAAAACACACAGTAATAAAAACGTCCTCGGTTTTTGACTTCCATCTATTACTTAGAAGGCACAAGTTTGTCCCATATCTCACATATAGCTTGTATTATGTATTTGTTAACATGCTGCTTGACTGTTATTTTGACACAAGGTAAATAAGTCTTCATTATTTGCCGAGCATGAATTCTGAACATTTGCTGGGCACAGTCATTCACATGCAATGACTTGATTGCTTTTTTCCACTTATAATCTTAAAAATTCAGTTCTTCAGGGTAGAGTTGAAACTATTAGTTGATTAATCAATTAACAGACCATTAATCAGCAACAGCTCCTATTATCACTTAGTTGTTAAGTCGTTTTTTACTTTTACTGAAGTTTTGATGTTAACTTGTCCATCTGGAAACTCTGATAGGCATTTTCATTATATTCTTGAATTTTATTGACCAAATGATTAATCAGCTAATGACTGTGAGAGAAAAATCATCAGATTAATCAATCATGAAAGAAATAATGTAGCCATATTTTGGGGGTTTTAATTGTTGTTCACACTAAGTAAGGAGCTTTAAGTCTTCACTTTGGCCAATAATCATATAAAACATTTTATTAAGTGATTAATCAACTGGAAGATACTTATTAGCGGAAGTTCTGCTCTCACTGTCCCTGAAAGTTTTTTTTTTCTAGACTCAATATTTCTCTTATAAACAAATATCAACACAACCTGTGAGACTGTTGAAATCCTGCTTCACTGTGTATGTTAACTGGGTTGTGTTTGTTTTGTAGCAGACTGATAGGAGATGTGTGCTGCCATGTATGTCCTGTCAACGGTAACGGGCTATGTGCTCACCTCTGCCCTGCTGCTGAAATGCCCAAATCTTTTGCACCGGAGGAAGCGAGAGGCTTTCCGCAGCAGACACATTTCCCACCGTGGAGGTGAGTCAGCGACACTCATTCAGATCTCAGTATTTATCATATTTGATTTTTCTTTCTTTTGTTCAAAATCCTCCTCAAAGAAAATCTTGCATGATAATGTACCCCCCCTCCACACACACACACACACACACACTAAAGTTTTAACATTTTTTTCAGTAGTTAGTGTACTTATTATGCCAAAAGGGATTGTGTATATGAAGATTATACAAGATGCTACAATTTTAAAATGTTTCTTGTCTGAATACAGTATCAGTATAGTTGGACACTTGTGGAATAGTTGGTAAGTTTTTACTCAGTCAGTTATTTTGACCACTTTTGCTTCACACTGGGAGCTAGTTACTAATGTATAAAGTAAGAATAGAACTAGGATGTTAACATTTATAGATGTATTTGCATGGTTTTGCCTGTATTGCAGCGAATTTATTACTATGCTTCTATCAGACAGGACTGTAGCTGTTAGATAAACAAAAAATTAAAAATGAGATAGTAAAGTTACATAAACAGTACGTGAATCTACAAAGGTTCATACCTAGGGCAAATAAAATGTCAGCACAGGACACCCAGAACATCATGGGTGTCTCTGCTTATCTTTTCCTAGCAGTGATGGCAGCGTTCCAGCTTTTGGTCCCACAGTAGTGCAGATATAAAGAAAATAATCTCTTACACTTAGTGTTTACTTTTTGCATTACAGGTGCAGGCGAAAATCTGGAAAACACCATGGCAGCTTTCAAGCAGTGAGTAGAAGCTGTTTGTATGTTTAACTGCATGCATGTGAGAAACATATCTGGTGCTTGTACTTGTGATTGTGGGAAGTGTGAGTCATCTGAGCTCATCTGTTTTGTTTGTCTGTCTGTTAAACCCTGTTTCAACACAAAGGCAGCGATGCCTTAAATCACTCAGTCTTTGAAGATTTATTGCTCTTATTTCTGATTGATTTATTAATGGAGGTTGAAGTTTACTGGTTTATGATTTTTCATGTTGGTTCACCTCAGTGACCACAGTGGTGAGATTGATGATAAAAGTCAATGGAATCTCCCAGGTATTGTGATAAATACTGTGTGTGTACTGCGTGTTGGTTCATGCAGCGCTGTGGATCTCGGCACAGACATGCTGGAGTTGGACTGCCACCTGACGAAAGATGAAGAGGTTGTGGTTTCACATGATGCCAACTTGAAGAGGGCCACTGGAATGAATGCTCAAGTCTCCGACATGGTCTATGCTGTGAGTTACTGCTCTCTCTTTAGTCATCCCATTTCCATATCTGACAGAGAAATAAATACCATTTTATTATTTTCTAATCTCCCCTCTGGCTTTATGAATTGTTTTCCCCTTTCTAGGCACCTGCAAAAAGGAAAATGTTAATGAGTATTTAATCAGTTGAATAATTTATTAGTAGTAATTTATTTTGCACAAATATTTGAGTTAAAACTTGAAACTGATAAAACTTGAAATGAAGAACTAGACTTGTGTAAAGGAAGTAACAGCATTGATGGAAAATGTGAGTTGATCAGGTGAGGTTCATATGAAGTCAACTGATTATGTCACATGATGAACTTTTGCCTGATTAAAATAAAAAAAATAAATAAATAAATAAAAAATGATCCAGCAGAAATTCTTGGTCAGTCTGTTGCTGCTCACTTAGGATCTCTGTTCTCTTCTGTTATAAACAACTTTCATGGTCTATTTTGCCCAGTGGTGGGCAAACCCAAACATCCCAAACACAAATAAGTGGCGGTCTAACAGAAACCTGCCATTTTAAAACAATTCAATGGCAGCTACATTAACAACAGCACTTTAATTTGACCATTAACGAAGCAGGCCACTGTCATTCTTGTCTATTTTTGCCAAATGAGTATTAAATAAAACACTCACTTACTAATGGAGAAATTACATCTGCATTCATATACAATCCCAAAACAAATGTAAATATCCACTGCTTGTAAAACTATGTTGCCCTCCCCCCTAAACAATGCTGAAAAAAACTGGTCCATGGTTTAACCTAATAACTGACCCCTGGCCTACATTTTTAATGTGTAATGAAAAAAAGATTTTTCGTAGAGGCCTTACAAAGTCCAGTGTGTTTGAAGGTCAGAGATCAGAACTAAAAGTTGAACGTCACATCAGTAGAAATGGTACTGATAAATGCCACTAATTTGATACCAAAGTGATATTTGTGGAATTGAAGCTTAAGTTTGCAGTTTTAGTGATCTTTGGCCTTGTAGTACAGAGATTCACAGAGCTCTTCACATTAATGTTGCTTTGCTATGTCCTTGCTGGGTTCCTGTCTCTTTTATATTGACTGTCGTTACCGTGAATGCCCTCAGTGACTCTTAACGTCTGCACCTGCCCTGAACGTACAGGATCTGACTACAGGCTGTTAAGCTTGTCTATTAACCACTGACTGCTGTGTGTTTTTTGCAGGAGCTACCACCATACCTCTGCAAGCTGGGGGTAACTTTTCAGAGGGGTGAGCATCACATACCCATAATTACTACAAAGCTAACTAAGTGTTACTCAGCGTTCTCAGTTACATGTGCATGTATATGTGATGGATGTTTGTTTGTAGGAATAAATATACAAGTATATTTAAAGTTTATGTTGTACAATGGGCCAGTTCATCTGCAAAAGAATTTAAAATCACAATGATCTTCTGTATGTAATGAATGCATTTACACGATATTTGACATTTGACAAAAAAAAATACATTTTTAGTTTGCAAACTGTTGAAATATGTTCACTTTAATGTTTTGGACTTGTCCTTGTCTGTTCAGAGTGTTTCTGCGAAGGAGGAGAGGACAAACGCATCCCTCTCCTCAGAGACGTTTTTGATGCCTTTCCTAATACCCCTGTCAACATTGACATCAAGGTCAACAATGACACGCTCATCAAGAAGGTGTGTGTGTTTGTATCTCTGTGGGGTTTTTTTTCTTTTGGTACTTTAACCCTCCTATCAAACAATTGTCCTGTTTTTCTCTTTCTTTTTGTTTGCCAATTTTCCATGCAATATCCATTTAACAGCAGTTGCTAGTCACAGATTTTAGCATGTCCTTAAAAAAAAAAGTAGCATTAGTGGTTATCTCATTGTATGTCAAAAGTAAGTAAGCAGGTAGATACTCATACAAAGATCTGTCATTGACATTTTGTCATTGTCAGATTCTCTTGTAACTGTACATTGTAATTTTAAAGACTATCTGCAATAACCAACGAGGAATATGACAACATAAAATTTTTTGATTCATGTTTCACGCCTGTGTAACATGTTAGATTGTGTGACTTTTTAATCCTTGCAGGTCTCCGAGCTGGTAGTGAAGTACAACAGAGAGCATCTGACTGTGTGGGGTAACGCCAGCAACCAGATTGTCAAGAAGTGTTATAAAGAGGTACTTTTATACGAGATGTGTAGCCTTACATTTGGATATAGAGTATATGGATATACTGTAGGTGGCTCACTGTGGAGAATATTTCACATATGGAGATATTCAAATATTATAAATAACTTTGTATCCACTTCTTAGGGGAGTCAGTACTATAAAAACAAATCATCTCAAGATGAGATGAGATCTCTTTGAAAGTATAGACTTTATTAATGAATCACAAGGGAACTGAGCTTGAATCCTGGTTGTATGTTTGTGTTCTGCAGAACCCACAAATTCCAGTGTTGTTCAGCTTACCCAGAGTATTGCAGTTGTTGGGCCTCTTCTACACCGGCCTTCTGCCCTTTGTTCCCCTCAAGGAGCAGTTCCTTGAGATCCCCATGCCCTCCATTATCACCAAGTAAGTTTACACATAAAAATGAAAAAAAAACACAAAAAAAACTAAAACCACTGAAATGAGACACAGAGCGACCAAACCAGACAAAAAAGAAAAAACACAAAACAAAAAGAGATAACAAAGACAGGAGGGACTGAAGTGCTGTACTTAACTATATGAGTCAACTCTATATGCTGATGTAGGGCCACAAGATGTGATTGAAAGCTCTGGAAAATTTCCAGCAAGTGGACCTTTCTTCCTAAAGTCACAAGTCTGGTTACATGCATGATTTTACTTAGTTTTCTTTAATTAAATGTACCTTGAATTTTTAATTCAGGTTTTAAAAATTTCACAAAGTACATCTTGTTCTGGCTCAATGTACCCGCTGTTCAACTGTTTGCAGTGAGTCTGTTTTGTCTCTGTTATCTCGCAATGCTGTTTGAAAGATGATCTCACTCACTAATTAAGTAATTAAAAGAGATATTCACACCCTTTGCCTGGAAAGTGTGTGTTAGTGAACTGTAAGGATCAAGGTCACAGAGCAGATTACACATGCTGAACATTCATTAAGGATTAAGTGATTTCAATTATTACACTTCTGTTGTTCTACATTATTTAAGTTGTACTAAATAGTTGCTTAATACAAATTCACCTCTCAAACACTGTTCTGCTGTTATTGTACATACATGGGCAAACAATTGGTTGTTTCAAATGTGCTCGACAAATTATTACATGATCAGGAATTGTTGTTTGACAGTTGTGACATTTTCTTCCAGGCTGTCTCATTTATGTCTTCTTTAGTTAATGATTTCCTTTGCTTCCTAGAATGAATTTCGGTGTCATTTCAGCTCCAGTTCAGTCTCGAACTTGTTCCATTCAGCAGTTTGACTTGAATAAATTTAGCTGTATGTTATTATTTTGTACATCAACTAACCTGGAATGCAAAAGTGAACGTGAACTGATTGATTATTAAAAAAATTTCCAACCGCAAATTGTCTGAATATGGCATCCACACCAGTGCCTTTTTTTAAAACCTATTTTATGTTTCTGTGTTATTCTGCAGACTCAAGGATCCTAACAGATTAACTAGGAGTCAGCGATTCATCACCTGGCTGGCAGACACGTAGGTCACTCATTTGTCTTTATTTTAATTTCAGAGTGGCTCAATCCACAGATGTTTATAAAATAATTGTTTTAAACTTGTATAACTGGGCTTTTTCATCACTTCACCTTGTATTTTTCTTTTAGTGCTGATACTTTGTTGACTGTGGACACTGTATACACGCACTGTGCACTACTGTGTGGCTGTGATTTATGCAAAAAGTTTACAATTCTACAACTAAACTTCACTCTATCTTTGCTATACTTGTAGTTTCTCCTTGCACATGAGCATTTATTTTTCTCTTGCAGTTTGCTTATGAGGAAAACTCTTTTTGAGCATCTTACTGCCAGGGGAATACAGGTAAAACTGCTTTTATGTACCCTCTGTAGTTGTGCTCACAAAACAAATTCTACATACAGGTGACTGAATACATAGTGGGTGCATATTGATAACTGTAGAGTGACATGTACTAACTAGATACAAATACGGAACTGTGTCAAGGTTAAGTTACTTTCCCTAAATTATCTTTACTACCAAGAATGAACTTTCCATAGTCTGAAATGTCCATGCTGAACCTGTCTATGTGCAGAGTGCTGTTTGTTGTAGCTGCAGTGTTACGCTGTAGTTACAAGCAGTTCCTGGGAAATGTAAGCGTTTCCTACAAGTTCAAAAATAGGCCGGAGTGGCCGCTAACACTACTGTTAAGAATACAGAGGCATTCTTGAACGTACTGTGACTCCCAGTACTGCGTGTTGTGTGCGTTTCAGGTGTACATATGGGTGCTGAATGATGAGGAGGACTTCCAGAGGGCATTTGACTTGGGAGCCACGGGAGTTATGACAGATTTTCCCACCAGGCTTAAAGACTTCATGGACAGGAATGGCATTTCTAAGCTCCAGTGACCTGCCAAAATCTACCTCAACCCCCACCACCACCACCACCAGTGATTATCCTTCAACCTGACTGACCTGCCAAATCAGCCCCCAATAACACCCACCCACTTTTACTGAACGCATTCCAGCAGGGCTACTACTTTCACACTGTGTTTTACAGGCAATAAGGATCTCCTTTATGTTCTGCATCCTGCACTGGTTTCAGGAACGAGTTGTTGTCTTGGTAACACACACTTTTGCACTTTCAGTCACATAGAATAACACTGAAAGGACCCATGCTGTACCTGCTATATGTTGTTATCTTCTTTGAGTTGTGGTCTTTTCAGATGCTTTATTGCCTCGTGGCACACCTACACATCAGTGTGAGATTAGTATTACACAGCTATTTGATCTTTTAAAGTATAGCTATAAAATGGGACAAAATGGCCATTGAAATGTGCTCTTCAGAAATCTTATCAGTCTTGAAGTTCATAATAGATTCATGGCTTCCGGCTTGAAAAAAATTCTTTACTCTTTACTACTTACTGCCTTCAAATACATGACAATTTGCAGTATTGCTGCATCGTGTAGTGTGCGAGTAAGAACACCAGCAGATGCAGCTTGATATTCATATGTAATGTTAATTTACCAGCTGCTTTATAATGTTTTGTGGTCCGTTTATTTATTTATTTTTGAACAATCTGACTGTCACTAAGCACATGCACTAATACACAAATTTAAGCAGTTGAGACATTTTTATATGTCAGACGCAAACAAAAAAAAACTGTCATAAATAACAGGATACAGACACAAGTCCTCAGCTCCACTGAGTTTGAGTACTGAGGTCAGAAGTGCTACTGCTCAATATTTACAATAAGTTAAAGCACAGGCAAATTCAATTCAACTGTTGATTGTTCTGTATAAACCACTGTTTCATGTTGTTTTCAAAGACAATGCATTGCTACATAGTTGTATGTTTATGTGTAGTTGTTTAGTCTCTAGACTTTTCTCTGAATCAAATGGAATTACTGAGGTATTATTTGTCCATTAATTAATCGGAGAGAGAAATTTTGCACAATATAAGGAACTTCATCTTGCTTATTTTAGTAAGTCGTACCTTTTTCACCTGTGTTAATGTGATCGTCAACAGCATTCAACTTCATATTTAAGAAAATATGAACACTAAAAATGTATGGGCTTTGAAGTGTACTGGCAACAAAGTAGATGCACTGATAAATGTTGATTGATTGCTGTATTTCAGTGATTTGAAATTTAAATCTATTTAAGATGGTGATTAACTAGCAATACCTCACTGTGGGTTTCAAAGTTTGAATGTGTAAAGATTATTAGGATTATCATACCACTGATATTCTGTTTCAAACTTGTGACCACACAGTGAGGGTCAGTATTGAATGTAGTATTGGTTGAATGTACTGTATATTGTTTGGTATTTTGCAGTCAAAGTTCAGTTTGTTGTTTGTCATTTTGTCCAAGTGAAATATGCACCGGGATGAATCTGATGTCTGATATTTTACTTTGTTTTGGAATCACCTGTACATCCAACATCATCATTCTTTGGGAGAAAGGCTTGTGATCTACCAATCATGTTACAGATTTTACATTAATGACTTTACTTTAGAATATTTTGATTACATAACCTGTGCAGTTCTGAGTGTACATTTGTTTTGCATGCTCAAATGAATATCTGATACCCTGTTTGAATATGTTCTGAGTTTGACAGAATCAGTTTGTGGGACCTGGCTGCTTGGACCTCTCAAAATGACTTTACCCACATGGTGTTTGACAAGAAGTGATTGAACAAGTGCATTTTTTTTTTATCAATATCAATAAAAAAAAATTAAAATAAAGTTAAATAAGTGGTATAGTAGAATAACAGTTTTATAATGTTCAACAACAAATATTTGCCAATTTATATAGATAAATATTTGGTAACCACCTGCAGACTGACAGGAGGTGGCGCTGTAGACGCGAGGGATTTAAGAAGTTTTCCCTACAGCTGGAAAGTAAATGAAGCTGGACATGTCTTGTTACAAGAAAATCACCGGCGGACACATTCTCTTTACTCACTTGAACAGGCGAGGTCTGTGCTCTTCACCTGCTTTAAGTTGATTAATAAAACTACTCTCACAGGTAGCTTGTGTACTTCCTAGAGAGTTCAGTGAAAAAATATGAGATTCCTTCGATATTATTGGTTTCTCGCTTCTACCTTCGACCAATAAGGGCGGTGTTGCTATGCCTGATCGGTTTGCTGATTGGCTGACGCGGCTGTCACTCACTCATCATGTCAACAGCCAGTGCGTTTTTTACCAAAGATCGTCAACTCGGCTGTTAAGATGGTTCGCGGCGTCCGGAGTGTGCGTGCATGACTTGTCGTGCTAACGGTTAATATTTTTTTTCAGCAATTTATTCATGAATAGGAGCGAATATCTCAAACAATAAAGTAACTTAGTTAAATATTTCTTCCATCGTGTTGTGAAAAGCAGGGTTGTGATGGTTAGGGTTAGGGTTAGTTTTTTCTGATAAGAGGCACATTTGTAATAGTAACTGTCGTTTCGCAAGGTTACACCAATTTGTAAAATGTTTTTTGTCAAAAGTGAACAGACACAACTACCCTCAGAAGATAAAAACAACGATGGAGATCAAATTTATTACAGCGTTAATCTTAACCAAAATAATGTAACAAAGAAACTTGTTAAACATCAACTGTCGCTGTACTTATACTGAGCATGCGCGCCATGGTGTTTCGACAATATTAACTACAAATATGAATTACAACCGGATAGATAATAGACGATGAAAACCACGCGGCTAAACGTCTACGTGGAACATAAAAACAGACACAGGACAGAAACTGACAGTCTTGTTGAATAAAAGAAACAATTCTACCTGTATAACGGGTTTCCTGCAAACACGGAAGTAGGAAGGAGTGTGTCCTCTCGCTCCGGCTGGCTCTTTCAGCACTCTCTCTCTCTGCCTCTTCTAAACTCTGCTGGGCATCGCTGCGCGTCAAAACATTGCGTCTCTGCAGGACTTGCCAGGGCCGGAGAGAAGAGGAAATTTGCCTGAGAAGGAATGCGAAACGAGGTTTAGAATTGGCACTGCCACGAGGAAACCGAGGAGGTGCGACATTTTCTAGGCTACGTGGAGATCCGCTTTTTCTTCCCTTCAAAGGTAAAATGATTTCCTCTGCGTTATTTTTCCTCTGTGCTGCATTTGTTGTTACGCACTGTTTTCATATCGCTGAAGCTTATTGTGTACTTATATACAGCCTGTCCGATACTTTTTTTTATCGAGGCAACTTTTAACATAGACAGCAGCTACACATGCTGTAAAATGACAACAAAAGACAAGTTTGTGATATTGTATCCTGCTAACACGCATTAAATACTATTTGTCATAACTATTCTTCATGTGAGGACTGATGTTTTCGCCATGGATGGGATGCTGAAGTCTACTCTGCAATGGACCTACTGTATCTAGTGGTTATTATTAGGACGCATGCTTTTTGTGGTAGCAGTCCTGCACGTATGCGCCATCATCCGCGTGCACGCGCCTGACAGTGATTGTGCACGTCAGCGGTGATCGATGCGGGTTATCATGTAATATACGCTCATGTGATCATAAACTCTGACGGCAACCGCCTGATTCTCATTGATCTGCCAGAGTCATCGCAGATGTTAAAGCTTTTCAGAGCGGGTGGTGTGCGCGTGTGTGCGTGCGTGTGAGTGTGCGCATGTGTGAGTGTTTTCAGCATTGCTGAGCCGAGGCATCCCCGCCATCTGTGCTCCGTGTGGTGGCTGAAGTTCTGCCCCAGATAAAGTGCGCCACTGCCTGTGACTTGATTCATCCCAATAATCAGATACACACACGCTCTAACCCTTAAACCTGCAAGTTTGTGTATTTGTTGATGTGTTACAGTGTTACATATAGATGATGTGACACTGTCACTCTGCCATCCTGTACAAGGCAAGTAGACCAGCAGGTGGAAATGCTGCAACCCCCCCCCCCCCCCCCCCCAAAAAAAAAAAAACATCTACAAAATAAAGTCCACGTGAGTCAGTTCAAGAACAGACACCCTGATCAAGTCACAACCTTTCCTCTCAACAATCTGTTTTCATTTGCAGAGTGTGCATGCACATAGTTATTGATCATGTGAGGGGTTAAAACACAGTGATCGAAGACAGGGGTTACAGAGGCCGGCCTTGAAAGGTGATCCTTTACAGACAGGACTTGTAGATGTAAACAAAAGTTGTCTATGTGTTGTGCCTACAGAGTCTTTTCTGTCACATCACCCACTTTGTTTTTAGTCCCTTTTTATGACACATTATCATTTGTGAGCCTCTCTGAAATGCCTTCGAAATGATACACACATGAATGAGGGAAGTGTGAATCATAAACACAATGAGCAAGCAAGATAATGAGCATTCAAGGTGTGTTTCTTTTAGGTCTTTTTGTGAGTAAATGAAGTAAAATATGTGTCAAAAGCACCTGAAAACAGGCACCACCCTCCATAAAACTGCCCCTAACAGAAGAAGATTAGATGGAGGTACAGATAAAACACAGCAACTGCAACCAGACACACACACCTGGGATGCAAGAGCATCGTTTCATCAGTGAGATTTGATATGAGAGGGGAGTTTTTTTCCTCTAGTCAGTGATGTCATGCTGCTGTATGCTGTTGGCCTTGGTGTAACACTGAATGGAGAGCATGCTGAAAGTACACGAAGTACAGAAATTGTGTCAGTGCAGCTCGTGGGCTGTATAGGACACACAGCTCATCTAGCGCTGAAGGGATACACGCTGCTTCTTCCCTCTGTCTTTCTCTGTTCATTAAGCAAACTCCCTGTCCCTGTCTGACTCTCACCCCCCCCCCCCCCCCCCCCCCCCCTGCATCTCTTCCTCCCCTCTGTCTTTCTCCCGCTCTCGATCATTGTCAGAAACAGCATCAGCAGCGGCAGCATCAGTGCATTACATAACAAAGGTTTTTTTGTTGGGATACAAGGGCCCTTTTGGCTGGTGAGATGCGTGGCACGTAGCCTTTTGTGATGACACCCAGAAATGACCAGAATGGACAGCTCGATGACCTCAAATGACCTGCGGCAGGACTGATGAATAGCCAGAGTGACACGGAAAAAATAAATATACAAACATGCTGAGAGGCATCGAGACAGATGAAGAGAAGACACAGGCAGGCAGAGTGAAAGATAAACTGGTAAAAGATGGACAAACACCAAAGACACACACTGAGGTTATTTAGACAGTCTTTGCCCTGACGTGTCAGTTTTGATAACATTTTCTGCTGCTGGAGCCTGTCTGGATCTCTGCGATCTGCTTCTGTAGTCGTCCAATCAGTTATGTTATCTGTTTTTCTGTCAGAGGTTTTTTTTAGTGCAAATCAGCCTGGATTGACTCTTTGCGTCAGCATTTTACAGTGTGTCAGCAACATCCTTGTTCACACAAACAATGTTGCCTTGCTAAATGATTTTCAAGCATGTCCACCCACTAAGATGAGTGTTGTCCTGTTCTGGGAGGCTGATGGAAATTATTATGAAATGTCAAACAGCGTCATAGTCCTGCCTTGAACAGGTCCAGGACATTTTCATCTGTTTAATGTGGTTTACCTACGGCTTATTTCATGTTTGATAGACTGCTTGTCTTTACAGCTACCTATTTCCTTATTTTCTATTTTGTAATTCTGCATATCAGACAAACCAGAAAAAAAAATTGATGACAGTTACAGAGTAAAATACATATTATGGCCAATTCAGTGGATTTCATGCCTGCTAAATCAAAGCCACAACATCTCTAGGGCTGGAACTAACGATTATTTTCATTATCTATCAATCTGCCAATAATTATTAGGATAATTATTGTCAGTGTGTCCAAAACCCATTAATATTCAATTTACAATGATAAAAAGAACAGAGAGAAACAGCAAATCCTCATAAGTACCCAATGGTGGGTGTTTTTTGCTTAAACAATTAATTGATTATCAAAATAGTTGCTGATTAATTTTCTGTTGATCAACTAGTTGTACAAATATGTCAACTTTAGTGCTCAGCCCCTCCATAGGCCTGGCAAATAAAAGCTAAGACTTCACTCATTGTATTAGAATATATTTGAAATCACATTAGTAAGAAGTATCAGTGTTCATCCAAAGCTGCTGACATACACTGGCACTCTGTTGTTAGGGCTGTAATGAAGTGATTCTTCAGAGAGCGACTGCAGATAATACACAGAGAGAACTCCACATGGATTATGTATGACCCATGAGAAGATGCGTAACACGTGCAATACTATAATCCTGCACTGCTGTTGAATGTCGCTCAGTTTAAAGGTACATTAGCGTGTCAGGAGATTCACTACGTTAACATGCTGACAGCTAACTGTAATAGCATCCCACAGAGCGATTTCTACAGCACTTAGTTTGAGTAAACATCTCGTCTGTGTCATCTGGCCTCAGTTGTGATGGACGTCACATTTACATTTACGACATTTAGCTGGTACTTTTAGCCTGAGTGTCTTGTCCCAAATACAGCAGTAGAGGCTTAAAAGAAGAAGCTTAAATATAATGTAATTAAATTCTAATTAAAAAGGTCAAGTTTGAAGCTTATGTTCTTAGATTACCTACAGTACCTAAGACTAATTACTTTGCTGTAATCAGACTGCAAATTTTATTTTTACGTATAGGGCTGAGTAACAAATTTTTATTATCTACTGATTAATCGATAATCTAATCTATGAAATGCAGGAAAATAGTGAAAAATGTCATTCACAATTTCCTTAAGTTCAAGGTCTTCAGATGTCTTGTTTTGTCTGAAAAACAGTACAAAACCCAAATATGTTCAGTTTACAGTGATATAAAACAGATAAAAAGAGCAAATAGCCGTTAGAGAGCAAGTAGCTGGAACCAAATATGGTTCGTATTTTGCTTCAAAAAATAAAAATTAATTTTATGTATTTCAGCTAATCAATGAACTAACCGTTTCAGTTTAAATTCAATTCTTGTAATAATACAGCATCCAAATATAAATGTATTAAGTGGGAAAGGGTTTCTGAATTGATAGGACTGGATGCCTCACAAACTTCTTCCTTGTCCTCAGTCCTGAGATGACAGAAAGGATAAAACATGCTTTGGGTTAAACATCAGTCTGTATATCTGGTGTGTGTATGTGTGTGTGTCTGTGTGTCTGTGTGTGTGTGTCAGGGGTCAGCTCTGACAACTGTACTGAGCGTGTCTTTGTGCGCCAGTCCCACGCCGCTGGCATGGAGTCAGAGGAGAGAAAACAAGGGCACGTCTCACTGCCTTATTTATTTATATCCCCCGGTCCTTCCCATCAGCACTGGAGCCTTTATCAGCCTCCGTCCGACACTAAAAACAATCATATTGCAGAGCAGTAAAGGAAAGAGGCCACTCTCCCCCTCTCTCTGTTGTTTGTCCTGAACTCACAGAGGCCTCCTGCTCCCATTCAGTATTTCATTAGTTTTTCCAGATGGTCCAGTAAAGACGGACAGGAAGGAGGAGAGACAGAATGGGACAACATAGTGTATTGTAAAGGTGATGAAACAACTCATAAAAGTTTTAAAAGTGGATTTTTAAATAGAGAGTGGCAGTCTTGTAAACTACAAAAAAGTTATTTAGTTAGAAATGTCATGTTTTCTGTATAGATTTAAATTAGAAAGAATAGTAGTTGAAATAGACAGGCAGACAGGTGAGGCTCCTCAACAACTTTATGAAAAGTACCACATGGGGATAGAACTAGATTAAATCATGTGATTGGTATGGTGTGTTTAGCAGCAGAGCCACAGTGCTGTTGCATTATCAATAAAACCACAAGGACTATAACTGCACCACAAGGTAGAGAGCACAGGCCTCTAACCTTTTAGTTTCTCCTGTACAGTTAGTCAAAACATACTCCTGTCCTCCTGGCCCCAAGCCTTTGGGATGGGTTCCCAGGCCAGCTTGCTAATCTTCTCAGTCACCAGGGCATACCAGCAGAAGTATTTTAGGGGCTCGGTCTATTTGGATATCATGGAGAGAGGATAGCACGATCCTCACGGTTGTGCTAGGCTAAGCAGATTATCTCTGCAGCCTCATAGACTTAAACACAGAATGTGAGCTAGCTTTGCTGCCTGTGTGCACTGAAAAGGTCTGCATTCAACTGGAGTCAGAGCAGAATGGAGACAGCTGCTCAAGAATCTCCACCTTCAATTAACGACTGTTTTGATGTTTGATTTTCTGCCAATACTTACTTGATTTATTGATTAATTACTTGGTCAGTGAGAAATGCCCATCATATTTTCAACAGTCTGTTGTGTACTGGCACAGCGGTACTTTGAGAACATCAACATGCTCACATGCTCCCATCCAAAATGTTAACATGGTGATGTTTAGCAGGTATAATGTTTGCCAACTTCACCACTTTAGTTTTGCTAATTAGATACTTGCATTGGGCAAATTTTGACCTGGTGATGGTGCTAGATCAACAATTAGCGGTTTACCAAAGTCATTATGGTTCATCCATGAGAGGAGCATGTATGTGTGCACTAAAAGTCATGGCAATTCATCCAATAGTTGTTGAGATATTTCAGTTTGAACTTCTTGATACTTCAGTAGTGGACCGCTGCCACTTCTTCAATGTGTTGGTTTCCTGTGTTGGGAAACCTGTACCATGTTTGGTACCCACAAAGCAGACTGTAATCCCATCAGCAATTATACACCTGTAGCTCAGTTTGCAACATTAGCTTAAGGAAGCAGTTGTTACACAACCATGTAACCATTAGATGCTGTTTTATCTTCCCTGTGCTCAGGTGTTCGCCTCCCGACCCACCGCCCACCACGGCCCTCACCTGCGTGTTGCGGTGCTTCCCCTGTGAGCCGACCTGGGCTGGCAGTCCCTTCTTGCACCGCCCGCCAACCCCGCCCATGGTCAGAATGACGCGCTCTAAGACCTTCCAGGCGTACTTGCCTAGCTGCCACCGAACCTACAGTTGCATCCACTGCCGAGCTCACCTGGCCAACCACGACGAGCTCATCTCCAAGGTAACCAGCAGCAAAAATAGCACACTGCTCCAGTAACTTGTCTCATCTTACCAACAGCGGTTGTCCCTGGAAACCATTAGGATAGTACTTCAGGCAGCTAATTATTACAGACTAGTTCTAGTTTACAGGCAGATGAACTTCATGTTTTGTTCTGTTATGGGTAAGGTTTTACTTTTGAAACAAGCAATTTACAGTGTAGTATTTGTCTCTTCCAATTTATAGAAGAGTTAATGTTAAAGAATATCATATACAGTTAACAGCAATTCAAAGGACAAATGCTGAAGATGTAAAAGAGGAAGAACTGATCAGGAATGACAAAAATAAACAGCAGGCTCAACACCTGTATGTCTGTGTCAGCTGCAGCCATGCTATTTCCTCTGCATGGATTATGTTATAAGCTGTTTAGTGAATTGGATTATGAATGCACTATCACTTTTTCCACATGCAAAAATGAAAACATGCTCACCTGTGCACAAAGGCCTTTTGCCAATTGTAAGACAGCTGCTCTAAATAAATCTGGTTAATGTGTCTCTCTTTTCATGTTGTGGAAATTTTAGACTGCATTATTAGTATTAAAGCTACTTATGCATACGTCAACCAAGATGTTATCGGTAGCATATTGGCTATTACTGGCAGACTACACAGATAGATAGATATTATTATTGATTTTGTCTACAAGTTTTAAAATAAGAACCTCAGCCTCAAATCATAATGTGGGCATTTTTACAATTAGGCCAAACCAGGGCTCTTATTTGACTGAAGCATTATGGCAATGTAAGAGCATGCTTATATTTTTTTATGGATTTATTACACTGTATAAAGGATAGATTCTTGCAGCCTTTTCATCTTTGTCTCATCTCATCTGTGTCTGCAGTCGTTCCAGGGCAGCCAGGGCAGAGCCTACCTGTTCAACTCAGTGTGAGTATCTGTCCACAAAAGGACAAACCTCTCCTGATACATTTCCACCCACCTGTTTAAAAAAGGCTTTGCAGGTGACGTTATGTGTTAGCAAAAATATGCTGGACACATGGGAGAAACCTGATCTAACATGCTCAGGTCTTATCAAATAGGTTTACAGTATGTGTTGTCCCACTTAGTAGTTGTGTTATTTTTCAAGCCCAGTGTAGACGGAGCCAGCATGTGCCTCAAGCGTTGTCATTATCAGCTGAATTGAGTGTGAAAATTAGGCTGTTTGAATCTATGCTTCACGGCCTGGTGCCCTATCACTATGCGCCGTGTGAGTGGGTGTGAGGCAGTGACTCACTCTGAGCACATCATACAGTATCTGCATCTGAGTAACTTGGGCACTTTCATATGGCTATTTTTTAAAACTTTTCTCACTCTTTCTCTGCTTATGTCTCCTTCCTCTCCACTTTCCTCCCCACACACTGATTTTCCCTCTCTCAGGGTGAATGTCGGGTGTGGACCTGCAGAGGAGAGAGTTTTGCTCACAGGCCTGCATGCTGTAGCAGATATCTACTGTGAGAACTGCAAGACGACCCTGGGCTGGAAATACGTAAGTGTCCTTGGCTGATTTGATGCACAGCACCACAAACTGCGTCCAAGGTTAGAGGATGATAAGCTGGGAGGTTGCTATTATAGCACTCCCTAATTTTATTTGCACCCTAATTATGTTTGGACCTCCTCTTCTCTCAGGGTCAATGCAGTGGTACAGCTGTGGACTGAATTATTTATTAGACAGACTTCTCAGAGCAGTTGGAGACAAGAAGGAGAAGTCTTAATTTATCTTATGTGACTTGTGATGAGTTTTTGTTGTTTAACAGAAGTGAAAAATATAATCGATTTCATTGTAGTGGCGTTGTTATAGTAGTATAGTAGTCGTATAGTATGGCTAATCATCACAACTGTCATAATAGTCGATTAAACTCATAAACTCTGTCAGTGTGGTTGATTTTAACAGAGTGTTAAAATAATGTTGACAGCCTCACCGTGTACCTCTAGCTAATATTACAGGTATATTTACAGTCAAAGTCTCTGCAGAGCTGTGATATAGCATGTCAAAACACACGTGCAGTATGTATTTAGTACAGACGGTATTTTAGGTCCCATGTCAGGGTGAACAAAACAGGATCCACATGTTAGCTGTCTTCATATATCAACAGAGCTGAGCATGTGCAGCTGTCACTGGTGGACCTTGTCAGCATGGAGGTGAGAGTTTACATTATAGGGCGTGTGACTGTATCCTTAAAGGGTTAACTCATATACACATGTACACACACAGTATCCTTGTTGTTTGGCTTCTGAGAAGGCTCCATTGACCGGCACTCTTTGCCTAACCTCTAACTGTTACATTCACACTACGTGTCTAACCTTAAACCTAAATCTAAGTTTTTTCCTTATGGTAAACCAGCTTTAAAAGTGGCTACTTTTCTGGGTGGCTTCTATTCCTGTCAGGACCCCACAAGGCAATGAAAACAGAGGTCATATGCATGCACACGCTCACAACACTAGATAGGACTTAATGGAGGGCTGCCTTTAATATCAGTTGCAGCAGTGCTGATTTTCTGCACTCGTCAAAGTTTTATTGAGAGGCTTGACCTACTGCACTTCTACACTGAGAAATCTGATAACGTGTGTCTGCAGCTCTGAACCAAAATAGCTGAAGACAAAACAAGGTACAGACGCTCCGCAGTGAAAGAACATTTGTATCGACCTACTGTGCGATACTGTTTTCAAGAGAGGCTCACAGTGAGTGGGCTTTGAGGAAAAACACAAGATTGTTAATGGACTTGGACAGTAAGCAGAAGTTGTCATTTTGTGCCATTTTTATGGCATTGATTAGCAACTCTGTGTAGTGTGTAATCCAAAATGGAAAGTATGTAATAGCCTTTAAAACATGAGCTTTGTCAAAATATTGCCCATATATAATGTTTAGTTAAAAGGGGTTGAAAAACATTTTACACTATAAAATGTGATTTGATATAAATAGGTTTACTGCTTGCTGCTAATATGGTTGGTAACTGGGGCCAGGAAAAAATTATTTGGGAATATGGGAGGTGGAGGCAGAATAAATTTAGGTGGTATTAGCGAGCAGCAGCCACCACAGCTGAGTGTGACCACCATGAGAAACAGCTGTTAATCAAAAACATACGCTCCTAACATAATCTTGTTTTAAACTTAAAATTGCTGTACTCAAACCTGCTTTGCGTTAAATGCTGTTAGCATGCTAAAATGCTCACAATGACAACTAACATATAGATGTTAAGTCTTGTTAAATTTTGCTAATTAGCGCTAAAGACAAAGCAAAGCTAAGGTGATTAGTTTTAGTTAGTAAGTATATAGATATAAACCAAAGAAATAGACATTAGAGAGCCTTTGCGGTTACCACATGGCATCAAGTTTGGTTTTCTTTTACTTTACATTACATACTTACTCTTACTCTTACTACAGCATCTCTTTAAGCTAGGCTAATTATTGTTGCAGTCATGCTTTTCAAATGATTGACATTTTGCAGTCAGCATATGAGAAAAAACTAATAAATAAAAGGGTGAAAATGTTACTTAATAGAGCAACACTTAGTCCAGCTAATAAGCTTCTGTGTAGCTCAGACTCTTGCTCTGGTATTTCTTATAAATCCCAATCATATTTTCCAGAGGAATTTTGGATTACACACCTCACAGTAGAAATGCACGTTACAGCCTGCAAAATTAGAGCACACTCTACGTCAGTGTTGGTGGTTGCAAGACTCAAACCTGTGGCCTTTTGTTTCCTTTTTTTTTTTTTCTCTGGCAGATTTAGTGCTTAGAGACACATTCCTGCCAATATAAGGTATAACGACCCAGTCTGGTCAGTTTTGATTCTGCAGGCTCCTCTGCAGTGTTTAGTGACTGACGGTTATATAACCAGCTTCCAAAGAGCCAGGAGCAGAGACAGGCCAGAACTGAGTCAAGGATTGAAAAGACTGTCCTGAGCAAGTTCTAGTCTACTTGTGTCTTTCCCTATACTATCCTACTCTCTGTCAGAGATATAAACGTGTTTCTCTCTCTTCATTATTCTCTGTCCATCTGTAATTTGAATTAAATTCTGTCTCTCCTGTCCTCTGCCACACCCTCCAGGAACATGCCTTTGAGAGCAGTCAGAAGTATAAAGAGGGCAAGTTCATCATCGAGCTGGCTCACATGATCAAGGACAACGGCTGGGACTGAGGGACAAGCAGTCGGGACATGACCACAGCTGTGGAGGGGAGGGGGGGACTGGGTGGCTGGATGGATGGACAAATGGATGGGAGGAAGAGGGGGGGCATGGTGGGTCGTGTGTGGTGGGTGAGTGTGTGACTTTGGTTTGGCTGATTTACTATTAACCTCTGTAACTCTCTGCCCATCCCGCCCTACCACACCTCTTGATGTATACACACAACACACACACACACAACACACACACACACACACACACACACACACCACACACCACACACACAACACACAACAACACACAAACACACACACACATCAAGGTCCCAGACATCCCAGCTTGACAGAGAGACAGACTAGGCAGGCTTGTACGCAGCTAGCAGGACTAGGTGACTGGCCAGCAATACACGACAAGATGTCTCATTTTCATGTTTTTTTCAAAACTGAAGATTTGATAGCTCTTAAAAAGGTGATAACGTTCCCCCTATACCTGCTAGGAGATATCTTCATTGTGTGAAGTATTCTACCTTCTCTAATAATAATGTTAAAACCAGTTGATAACGGGTAAATCAGTGGAAATTTAGCCAGAAGGAGGCCAGTTGGCCTGGCCTGGTGGTGTTCACTGGCCTTGGCTGAAGAGCTGATGGACATTCTCTCTGTCCACAGTGTGAATGAGATGACCTAAGATGATTATAGCAAATCCAGCTGATCGGGACCATGCCAGCTGGGCCAGTGATGAGGCCTGGCGCTGAGGCTTGGCACGGAGGCCCGAGCACATGGACGTTGGGTTGTGGCGGGGGGAGGTGGGCCACTCACTCCACATGATGGGGAGGGGAAGATCCTGATCCAGTTATGCAGTGGCTTTGATGGCCTCTGGCTGGGATCCACTCCATGTCTTGCCAGTGATGTGGTTGAGGACGAGCAGGGTGGGCCGACAGTGAAAGAGATACAGACAGACAGCCACCAGCTTGTCCTAAAACCTCACAGGAATTTGCCCTCGCAGCAGCAGAGCAGGTCTCCTGGGTTTTATTCATCCTTCGATACACAGAGTCGTGTAATGTGATCTGCTGATCCTCCCCATGTGTGTCTGGTGTCGGCAGACGCATTGTCCACCTTTGTTACTTGGCCAGATAGAATTATACAACATAAGCTTGTCTCAGGTGAGTGATTTTGGCAGGGATTCCCAAAGGTTTGCGAGCACTGTGGGTATCTCTCTGCTGTTGTAGGTTGATAAGCAAAGGTGACGAGGCTCTGTAGGCTTGGGAGGACAGCTAATGATCAGTCAGACACAAACACAACCCCGGTTATCATGCAAATAACAGACCTCCCCATAGTTTGATTTGAAGAAACAAATTGCCAGTGCATGACTGGTTTCATGCGCCAAGGGAAATGCAAATAGTAAAAAAACAAACACAAAAAGTAAGTTATTACTTACTTTTACTGAAATTGTACATGTACATACATGACCACGGAGGTGTGCACTGTAAATGCATATGTATAAAAGGTAATACCTATCACTCTCTTTCAGTCTGGGATGACTGCTGTTTAACTGCTGTTACACTGAACTTCACAACTGGCCCTCACAAAACATTATAACAAACCTATTGGGCAACATCATGAAGCAATGCATTAGATAGACCTACTTACTTATTCTTTTGCTTCTTAATGCACCAACACATTACCTTCTTAGGTTTTCCCCCAGTTTTAGATCATTTTTCCCACCTCAGTTAACTTGCTAAATAGTCCTCATGCATCATCGGCCTTCGAGCTATGACACATGGGTAATATTTGAGAAAACATTAATGAGAAGCATTGCTCAGGTACCTTGAAACTAACTTTTCTTTGCTAAGCCCAGGATCTTACTTAATGTGCTGGATGTGCTATTCTCTGATGGAAATGTGTTATTTTCAAATGAGAGAATCCATTACAGCTGCCTCCATCCTGTGGAACGTTAATGCATGCATGATCTAATACTAAGAGTTTTCTGACCAGTTTTGTGCTCGGCCCTCATCACGTTTTTTGTGAAAAAAAAATTGTGTGCATTAGAGTTGCACTGAAACCTTGTGCTGTAATACAACATCTAATCAGTTGCATCCCAGTCGGTTTGAGCTGTGAGATCCCTCTGCAATGGCACAAAAGCACTGCAGATTAAATGTGATCCTGGTTTAGGAAAGTAAAATTAGTTGCCCTGTCACACATAGTTTCCTGTCATTGCAAACATTGCTCTAGACGTTGCCCTGTATATGGTGAGCCCTGTTCAAAACTCAAACCTAAACAGATAACTCTTCTTCTTCTTCAGTAACACTCAGCAGCTGATTGTTCAGTCGGAGGCTGTGACATTAAACCCAGCACAACCAAAGAACCCACCCATCAACAATAAGTTGACCAAACAAAAGATCTCATTTTGCTTGGACAAAGTGTTGCAAAACAAGGGGGTGTGTGCATAGCTGAAAGCCAAGGTTGTGGATAGCCTTTCTCTGTGATATATATAATGCATTATGATTTTGTAAACAAAAGATCTTAATATATAAATATATTCTATTTACTGTATTCACCATGAGGATTACCATTCATGTCAACCTCCGTGTTACAGACTGTAAATAGTGTTAATGTATTGTGTTTTATCTATGATCTATACGATGATGAATGAATATGATTTAGGTCATGTCATGCTTTCTCTCTGGTACCCCACATTGGCTGTACGATACTACTTTTTTACTGAAAATGTTTCAATTTTAATGTCTTTTGTAAAGGAGGATGCTGATGTTGACTATATATCATTGGATCTTCATCTAATAAAAAGCACCTTGATATCTGTATGGAATATAGAGTTTGCTTCTTCATGTGCAACCTTAAATCTTGATACTGCGAGTCATGCACCTTAAAGGGGCACTCCAACTTTCATTAATCTGGGGTCAAAAGAGACAGATTTTGAAAAGAATGGTCAAATTGAAGCAACAGAGCTGAGATATCCCAGGTCAAATGCCAAACACACTGGAATCTACATTTTCCATAGTGTGTGAACATTGCGTCTTGTGTTAGGCCCTCTCTGCATGGTAAACGTCCATGTCTTTCAAATTTCACCCCCGAGTTCATAATGCAGGAGTTTTGTTATGAATTTGAAGTCTCAAGACAAATTCAGGATAACCTTGATGATGTGATCAGGGTTATTTATAGCAAGACTTGATTATATTAAGTTTAAAATTATTTGATGTTTGAAGGCTCTAACAGACATATAAGTTGTAAAACCTTAATTTTATGCCTTTTTAAGTAAACTATTATCACTATCACAAACATAAAACCACAATCAAAATGTGTTCTCTTTTTTAGCTCTCGTCCATTTTAACTAATGACCTACTTTAATAGATTAATCTTTAATTAAATACATTTCAAAATATGATTTAAAAGTAGCTTAACCACCTCAAATCTTGTATGTTTCATCGTCGCTAGCAATGAGTTACTGCTACTCTGCTAAGCTAGGCTAGTAAGATCCAGTTTATCTGGAGTTACTTGTTTTCTCAACTAAGATTTAAGATTTAGACACTGTCTTATTTATGTGGTATTACAAACTTCATTTGCAGCTTTGTCAGATAACTCATTTGAACCGATGCTTTGATTTTGCAGATGATAGATGTGAGTACAGCTTCTACACACCAATAACATTCTATCTTAATTAAAACACACATATAATCAACAATAATGGTGAGAGAAATCAGTCATTCACTCTAATTATGGGCTGGATGTTTACGTCAATTGACCAGGCATCATCAGAGGATGTGCGCACAAAGTCTGCTGCGACCGAGCAGTGATAATAGGTGGTGACATTTTGTTGTCCCCATGGTAACAAATGCATCATCTGTTACTATAGGGGGGAGTGAGAAAAAACAGTAACAGCCAACAACAGCAACAACAACAGCAGCAGCAGCAGCAGCTTGGTTTCTCTTCCACCAGTGTCACGTCTCAATTTAATATAGGAAATATCGTGCAGATGATTTTTGGTGTAAAAGTGGATTTGAAGATGCGTGTGCGTGTATGCACGTGGAGGATGGTTATGAGTGGGTGGGGTAAGAGTCACACCTGTTAGTCATACATTAATCAAGCTCCTCATCATGCTTACTCTCCTCCTCTTCCCTCCCTGTACTCACGTGTCCTCCTCATTCCCACTCCCCACCACCACTCTTATATATATGCTTTTTCTTTTCTCCCTTTCTTCTTCAATTATCCTTTATCCCTTTCCCTCCTCCCTCTGTCCCCTGTCCTCCTCTGTCTCTCCCTATAGTGTTGTTTTCAATGATCCTCCTGGGCTGATTTCTCTCTGTCCGACTTGGCTAACCCACTCCAGATCTCACTGCAGCAGATGGTGCTGGGTTTGCATTGACCAAGTCTCCTAGCAACCCAGTCTCTCTCTCTCTCTCTCTCTTTCCTAAAGCAGAGCAGCAGAGGAGTTGGTGTCATGCACTGTCTGGGTCTGCCATGCCCCCACCCCTCCTCTGTCTCTTAGTTGATGTCTATGTTTATGTCTGTGCCTCTGTCTCTTTCTCTCTCAGATGCAAAAGTAGGGCAGGGGGCTGACTGTCTGGATTACTATACATGTGTAATGATTAAATTTGATGGGCAAAATGGGCAAAGCAGGACACCACAACCGATGTGATTTGTAACCCTATGTGACCTAGATTTTACAGACGTTCACGTATGTTGTGATGGCAGGGAAAGATCACATCTGGGTCACGCCGGATTTAAAGACAACTTTGCCCCCACATTCATGTTATTACTACCTGCCAAAAGCTACGTGTGTGTATCACACCATCAGGTTTGCATGTACAGACATGCAACACCGTGACACAGTCCAGCAGGCTGCAACATACAGTCTGCTCTGCCCAGACACACACACTGTACTTCATGAACACAGGAGGGCAACTAAGGACTTGTAGCCTGAAATGGTATTGGTTCTTGTGCTTTCAGACTGCTTGGCCTGAGGACACACACACACACACACACACACACACACACACACACACACAGAGACCCTAAATATAGCCTCACTACAC